TCCCAAACTTGAAATTTGAAAACTCAAACAAAGTCACTACCATACGGTGATCACTAAAACCTATTCCTTTTATAACGGACTCTTTTATAGCAGAGACAAGAGACTCACCAGCAAAAATATAGTCAAGTCGTCTGGCAATCATTGGGCTACCTCTGCTCCACGTGTAGGTGGCAGACTATAGTAAGGTACTACATCTGATCTGGATAATATCAGAAAAATTCGTGTTAGGAGTCTTTCCAAATGACAAATCGCCGGGGCCCTGACAGAGCTCAATCCCACGTCATTTTAGTTTCAAGCCCAACAGCCTATTCACTAGACCACCACGCCATAAGTTCTCTGTACCTCATGCTTTTTTCACTGATGTGTTTCGAACGTAAGCTCTTTCTTTAAAGCAACCTGGTGAATTTGAAGTAAAATGGCGTGAGACATTGCCAAAAACCAAACCAGATCGATCGTCCTGGTTTGCAGACCCATCAGAGGTCCGCTGTTTTGCATACCAAAGAATGTTTTGTTTGCCTTCAGACCCGCTCCTCAGACGCGATAGGTCAATTTGAAGGCCAAGCACGTTTATCTGAGTCACTGCGTCAGACCCTCGTGAAATTGTCCACTCAGAAAGAACTCAACAGTTCTAACCTAACGCTCCTAGCTTATGTTGTTAGCTTAATCGCCCCCTTTTAAAACGGTGATGTTGTTTAAGAAGATGGGTCTTCAATACCAGGAAGGGAGCCACAGTGAGAAAAGGGAAATGCGCCTTTTCAACCAATCCAAGTTCAACAGTAGGATGACACATAACCCCCCCCCCCCTTGGCCACACGGAAAGATTGATAAAAGAATACATGCACATCTATCTCTTTATCTAACCCTTTCTCTTTATTTTCAGTCCACACCCCTTCTCTCTTTCTTTCTCTCTCTAAGCTCTTTTTCTCTCCCCTCCCTCCCTCTTTCTCTCTCCCTAATATGCACACAAAAGAAAAGAAATAAGGTACATCTATCTTTTTCTCTTTCAGTCTCACTTTCTTTTCCCACCTCTGGGACTCAAATGATCGACCTTATGCAGTTGCGAGGGCCGTAAAACTCTTACTAAAACAAACAAACGGGCACTCAGATAGTGCTATTGAAACTGGCCAAGATAGCCATATAGCCGAGGAGAAAGTGAGTGCCAACATGATAAAGCAAAACGCAAAAGGGAATAGGAAAGTGGTCATTTGTA